GTCTTGAATCTGCATGGAAAAATATGCCTTGAAAATTCTCCTGGAAAAGTGCCGGTAGCCAGGCCCAGTGTGGAGCGCCTGGAATCCCAGCTAGAGAAGCTGAGGCAGGAGGATCCCAAGTTCGAGGCCAGCCTGAGCAATTTAGCAAGGCCCTGGCTCAAGATTCTCCATGACCCTCCCACCCCGCGCAAGGTCACTCTGGGCTTTTCTCTCTTTGCACCGGACCCTGGGAGACTGCCCTGTTTATACTTCACCCACCAGCGTCCCTTGCCCTCTGCTTTCAGGTTGGATTCTGCAGATGAAAAGCAGGAAACTCAGGGGCGAGTGGAGAGAGACGGAGGCATCTATTTCCTGGGCACTCTCCCTGCACCCTGCAGTAGCCACAGTCCTAGCGCCTCTCTAAATGCGAGCTATCCCTGGGGCCTAGTAAGCAGCCCCAACCTTGTCCCTCTGCCCTGAGGGTGGTTATGGCTTGGCTCTCGAAGTGGTTGGGCCACCCAGTGGGTTCCTTTGTGGGTTCCTCCGCCTCGTCCATCCCTGTAAAAATTGTCCCTCTACAATTGCTCCCAGTGACATTCTTTGATGGGCTCTTCCCCGCTGGGATCCAGACTGAATCACAGCATAAATTTAGGATGAGCCCAGGAGAGAAACGGACCCTAAGCCCACCAATAAGCACTCAGAATGGCTCTTTAGAAGGAACTTGGGATGACCAACTGGCTGCCAGGAGGGTTCTGGGAGGCTTGAAGCTGATAGGACTCATACAGGATCATCATGCCACTTCCCTTGGAGCTATCCTTAACTGTCCCCAATCTGTAGATTTCTCATGTCCTTGGTTAACCTTCTCGTTTTCTGTCTCCCTCAAGATTCCTGAAAGAGAATAATGTGGTTCAGAGAGGTTAAGTCACTAGTCTAAGGTTACACAGCAAGTGATTATAATACTAACTCCCTTTTGTTTGTTTTCAGCTGTGACTCATTTATGTGATGGTCTAGAATAGGCAAAACTAATCTCTGGCTTAAAAAAAAATAGTTGCCTCTGACTGAAGTAGAATATGTTGCCTAAAAAGGACCATGAAACACTGTTCTGGGGTCATGGAAGCATCTTGTCTTGATTTGGGTGTGTAGTTTACATGGGTATATTTATTTGTCAGGACTCGTTGTGCTCTTCCTGTAAGATCTGGGTATTTTTACTTTAATTGAAAATTAGGGGCCTCCTGGGCGCAGTGGCACATGCCTATAATCACAGCTAGTTGGGAAACTGAGGCAGGAGGATTGCAAGTTTGAGGGCAGCCTGGGCAACTCAGTGAGACCCTCTCTGAAAACAAAAGTAAAAAGGGCTGAGATGTGGGTCAGTGGGAGAGGGTCCCGGGTTCAATCCTTTATACTGTAAATACGGGCTGAGAGTGGGGGTCAGTGTTAATAGACACCCCCCAGCACCCCTGAGTCTGTGAGTTTGATCCCAGCACCACAAAAAAGAAAGGAAGGAAGAAACCGCAGTACCCACTCACCCACACCCACGCAAGAATTTTAAGTCTAATATCAGTCATTTTTAGGGCTGTATGAAGGTTTACCTAAAAGTCCTTTGACCAATAACAAATTCTCACAACTAATTTTCTTCTTTTTCTTTTCCTTTTTTTTGTTAAAACCAGGGAATTGACCACTGAGCCACATCCCATCCCAGCCCTTTTATTTTATTTTTTATTTTGAGATGGAGTCTAGCTTTTGGATGCTTTACAAGCATTTGTTTTTTAAATATTTTATTAGTTATAGATGGACACAATGCCTTTATTTTATTTATTTTTTTATGTAGTGCTGGGCCACAACCCCAGCCCCACAACCATATTTATTTATTTATTTATTTTTGGTGGTGCTGGGGATTGAACCCAGGGCCTTGTGCATGTGAAGCAAGCACTCTACCAACTGAGCTATAGCCCCGGCACCTCACAACCAATTTTTGAAGGACATGATGAGGGTAATGATAATGATGGGAATGATGACGGTAGGCAAATGTGGGCTGGTTTTTATTTCGTTTGTTCTCTGGAGCATTTACCATTAGAAACGATGTGTACTTCACACTATCGAGAGCCAAGCATGAATGCCTCTCCCCCTAGTGGGGAGGCAGATAATTAGAAAAAACATGGCAGTCCTAGAATGTTAGCTGGTGACAGGTCCTGGGGGTGGGGGGCAGTAAAGCAGAGACAGAGATGGGGAGCGTTGGGCAGCAGAGGGACATTGACTGGGCCAGACGACATCCCCTGGAGAGAAGGGCCGGGAGGGCACAGGCCTGAGGAGGTCGCTAGCCTAAAGTCTGGCTAGGGGGCTGGTTGGAACCGTGGGCTGCAAGGGCTCCTTCCAGGAGTGGCCCTGACCTTGGAGGTGGGAACCTGGCCGGCCTCTGTCGCTCTCTTGGTGATGGGGGGGGGCATCCAGGTGGTTAATGACTTACTTAGGCCTGGGGGTCTCTAAGGCAGGAAATGACTCAGCCCAGGTCAAGGGCAGAGCTCTTGTCCCCCTGAGGGTTTAATAAAGTTGCAGGTGTGTGTGTTTGGAGAGAGGGTGACCAAAGGGTTAATAAGGTGAGGTGGGGGCTCCGGCTGGGGACCTTGAGTGATGGGGGTGTCCAGCGGCGGGTGTGGCTTCTCGGGACTGGAAGCCTTTAGTGGGGTGACGACCGGTGTAAGGGGGTGCGGCAG